CCATTTGTATGGCTCGAAAAGCCACAAATTCATTTGCGTTTGCTCTGTCAGAAGTGTGCGTAATTTGTTCGTTGGCGCCTCGTATTTCCTTTGAAACATTACTTTTTTTAAACTGATTTGCGTGAGTTTTTGTCGAGAATGGGGCCCTGCCCCATGTTAAACGAACTTTTTATCCGATGAAAGAAATGCCCTTTTGGGACAAGACATTTTATCCTTCGATCTATTAACCCTGAAAGGAACTCAGAAGGTGTTTTTTGTAATTAGGATGGTTTCACATCCGCTATAAAGTGGGTAAATGAAGATTGACCTCTCCATGTAAAAGAGCAATTTTTGCCCAAAACCTCCGGTTTTTTGTGGGTTTCAAAAAATTGCTTCGTTATAACTGTGCGCAGCTTGTATCGTAATTACCGATGACTAATTGAGGCAGACAAAATTCGGTACAGAGGCCTATAAATCAGCCCCCTGCCGGATAATTTGATACTTGCCCTGTCTCTTCTATACAGTCATAATTATTTCAATATCCTGCCAAATTTCCCTTGGAAACGGAAATGGTGCCCCAAAAATTACCCATAATGTGTTGAATGTGTGTGCAAGCAAACAGTTGAAAAATTGGGTCTCCAACTAGGGCAAAGTATGTAATAATGCAATCGTGTCCGGCAGTGCATGCAACGCGCTCATTTTTTTGACGATAAGACTTTTTGTTTACTTAGTTAACCTACTAAAAGATCATTTGGGGTTTGGAGCAATAAACGGCCAATCACCCTTTGGGCGGTGACCCACATATGTTCTGGTTGAGGCACGAAAAACCTCTGGAATTGGGCAAAACTGTCAAAGCTCTACCAAACCGACGGTTACGAGGGGCTTGGTTCCACATTATCAAGTAATTAGTAAACACCAATTGTTGAATGAAGAACTCCCGGGTCGGAATGCGGCCCTGAACAAATCGCGTTCTTGGTTATGCGAGAGAGATCGGTTTAACCTGGCGCTTTTTTGGATTTCAGATCTAGGCCTGAGGAACACTGCGTTGAATTGCGCTATTGAGTTGCTGCCGCCCTCTGAGTGAACTAGTTATAACTCATCGGTTAATGAGTTATTAGTCATTTGTTAAAGCTGTACGGGAGCCGAGACTGCAATTTTCACATCTAAAAAAAAGTTCGTTAACATTTTTTTTTATTAACGTTTTACTACTTTGTTCAAACAACTAAAAAAAGGTCATCTGGATTTTTCCCGCAACAGAACTGAGTCCAAAGATAGTCCACAAGTATTCTTGTTAAATCAATCTCGTACTTTTTTGTGCGTAAAAGATTAACTTTGCCAGTATTTTACTGTTTTTCGATTTTTCTGTTTAGAGACAGTGTTGTTTAGAAATATTGACCTAAAAGTGAGGAAATCCCAGTTTTCAAGAGTTTTTCAAATAAATGATTATAAACCTTTTCTTTTTCCGTTTGGAAAATATTTCTGAAAAAAAATCCGGAATTAATTATTAGGGTTTTGTCCATAATTCGAAGATGCAAAAAGTTTTCGAAAATTTTTTGCAAAGCGGATAAAGAGGAGAGCGTTTCAACAAAATGTATCTTATAATTTTTGACAGAAAATACCTGAAGAGTGTCAGTATTTTAATTAAAAAATAATAATAAATTTTTTTTTAAGGAAATTGAAATTGAAAAAAGAACTGAATAAAATTTTTTAGTTTTTGTTCCAAATTCGAAGCTGCAAAGGGTTTTCTAAAGTTTCCTGCAAACCGATGAATAAGGCGAATTTTCTAGAAAAATCGTTATTTTTGGCTAAGAAGACCCGATTATTGTCAGAAAAGACCGAAATCCTAAGAAAATAATGTTTTTTTTGCATTTTCGATTAAAAACTTTTAGTTTTGTGACCTGCTTTGGAGAAAACCCTAATGGTTTTTGGGGAAAAACGGCAGACATTTATTTTCCTTTTTGTCTCGAATTCAACGCTCAAAACAGTTTTTGTAAAATTTTTACGAAGCTATAAATTTATCTTGTAATTTTGCGCGTAAAAGACCTTTAGATAGTGAGTATTTTTAAGTGAAACTCTACAAAATAGAGCATTTTGAAGTAGAAAGTGAAGCAAAAAAAAATTCTATGAAAACTGAAAAACCACATTTTTTAACAAAGTATAGTCTTACTTGATAATGGAATAAAAGTGACGAGATTTTTAAATAATCTGTTATAAACTTTCGCTTATTCTGTCCGTTTTCCAAAAGAAATTTATTTGATTTTTGTTCCAAATTCTACGCTGGAAGGGGATTTCAAAACTTTTTACAATGGGACCAAGGATTAGAAATTTATTTCGTAATTTTTCACGGAAAATGCCCTAATTTTGTCAGCATTTTTAAGTGAAACTTTAGAAAATTGAGCATTTAGAAGAAAGAATTACTTGGCTAAAAATTGGCTTGGCTGGAAAATTCTGAAATTTTAAAAATATTATTAATGCCCTTAAAATAAATCTAAAAACAAGAAAAAAAGTAATCAACATTTTGCCAGCAAAGAAATTGAGTTACTGCGCCGGTGCAATGGGCTGGCTCACTAAGTCATTTGCGAAGTACTGCGCCAACTCCTAACAATTACCTAAAAGTTATCCAGGCCTACTCAGATTTTTATCCCGGGCATTTATGTAGACAGCACTTTAAGTTGAAAGCATATACGCCCAACGGACCGACAAAAACAACGACACGACAAAACATTCTTACTAGATAAGTAAATAGTGGCGTTCACATTAACCGGCAACGGCACAGTAACGACACGTTCAGACAACGACGAAGCCGACAGACACTATTGGCAAGAATGAGAGAGAAAACATTCCGTCGTGTCGTTGCTGGTCCGTTGCGTGTCTGATAGTGTGAATCAGTGGAGGACAAGTAACCGGCATCGACGGGTTGTTTGGTTCGTTGTTTCTGACTATCTAATTGGCTCTCACAAAACTAGAAGCTAAATTTTAAAGTTAATAGTTTTACAATTATGTAGTTTTTCCTGGTTCATTTGACTTGGGATTTTCAGATTTTTATTAAGAATAAAACAATTCTAATGTTACAATATAAAGGTAACACCTTAAAACTAGATTTTTCTTTATATTCTGCTTAGGGTGCTGGTTATAGGAATTATCTCGCGTAATGTAGCGACACGACACGTCAAAGCATGCTTGCCAAAAATATCGGGCGGTCTCGTCGTTGCCTACACGTGTCGTTACCGTGCCGTTACCGGATAATGTGAACTCCACTTTATCTAATAAGAATGCTTTTTCGTGTCGTTACAGTGTATTAGCAGAGATTAGTAGATACTACTATACTTATCTCTGGTATTAGCCGTTTGTTCGGTGTATATCTTCCTCGGATTAGGAAAGAAATTTAACTATAAGTTTGATCCAAGCACAGATCTTAGGACGATCTAATATTAGACACCGTCAGGGCAGGAGTTTCGAGCTTATTGTCTCTCATCAACTGGGTTCAGCCTGAACATAACAGTACCGAAACCTTTACTTTATTTCGCCCATGTATTTTACTGGGGAGCCTAAAATATACAGGGTGTCCCGTACGCACATGATCAACTGGAGACGATCTGACCTAACTTTTATTAACAAAAAATGTCCGGTTCCTCTGCTATTGATGATCAAAGTTTTTCTAAAAGTGGTCTATTGTGAAATATCCAGAGAATGGTACGATATATTTGGGTGAAACTCGCTGTGAATTTGTTCTAATGTAAGACTCATATTTTGATAAAACAATCGAGTTTAGCCGTTTTGGGCAACGAGTATCACAACGAGTATCACTAAAATACATCGTACCGTTCTCCCGATTTTTCAAAAAAGAAAATGTTTTTGTAGAACTTTAACTATCAATAAGAGAGGAGCCAGACCTTTTTTGTTAATGAACGTTAGTTCAGATCGTCTTCTTTTGTTGCAAAGAATATCGCAGTATCCTTTTGATCATGTGCTTACGGGACACCCTGTATAGGTGAAATAAGGTACAATTTGTCCCATTCTCAGATCCAAATCAAAAAGATTACAAGTATTATGTGGTTTTTTCGGGTTAAATCTCTTATTATTCTTCTTCTTCTGCTTACATAGGCAACTTTGCCTGTTCATCTTCAGTGCGTCTGCAGTAGGTTGTCGCTTTATCTTTTTCTTGGATGTTCTATTAATCCCTTCGCGCTGGGGATTTTTTAAATATTTCGGTTTATTTTTTCTTTTTGAAAACCAGGTGGAAAATGTTGATGAGGTTCCCACTTTAAGTAAAAATCAAATTTAAACGGTTTAAGATTAAAAAACCTGACCTCCAAGCGTCAAATGTTCAATAGCAGTTTTGTAGACTATATAAGAATTAATAACTTTTCTGGCGAAATTTCTTAAAAGGGCAAAAAGCGGTTTTTCTGTATTTAGTTTTCTACTCGCGCACAAATGATTTACTTTACATGAAAATTTGTAAAAATATGTTATTTTTGATGTTCACTACGCATGATTTTTTTCAAAAATGTAAAGTCATGTGCAGGTTTTTGGAGTGTTATTTTCAGGCTAAATCCTGCTGATGAGAGCTAATAGGCTCGAAACCCCTGACCTGAGGCTGCTTTAAATAAGCAAATCTCGAAATCTGCACTTACTGATACCAGGAACTTTGGACGGCTTTTCTCCTCAGTTCTTCGAAAGTGAGTTTAGTACTAAATTAACACTGACCTGCCGGTGCCTCCTCAACGCAGCGTGACACAAAGTTTTCGCGGTTGAAAAACGCGCGCGTTTACCAGCGAGTTTTGCCACTTGATCGGGAGGAGGACGCGATGCGAACAGAGCGATACTGTTGGGAGTGTTGGCCTTTGGAGGCCTCCAATGCGCCGTTGCCCCACTCAAAAGTCGGCAACTAGGTCTGTCGGCGATCTAACGCAACAAGGGATAAGGGAAAGTGTTGCCCATTAAGGGCGCTTTACGGACACTGTTGCTTTTGCATGCGGATTGAGTGAAGGCCTCCTGCCCTCTTAAAACACTCACAAAGATTCAACAATAAATAGCTCTTTAATATGTACAGATCAGATAACAATTAGGGGGGCGAATGCCCAGTAGATTTTCGCCTATAGAGAACTGGCCAACGAACGCCCCTATTTTTCATGTCATCCACTTCAGTACTTTGAGTACCTCTTGCCCTGCTGCTTCAGATAGCGCAGCTGCACGACAGACGGCACGTAGGAGTCGAGCAAACTCTTCGGCTCTCTTTTGAATAGCGGCCCCTCCTGCTGCCCTCTGGTAGGCGCCCGATATTCCACTTGTTTCTGAGCATGCTTGCTCTTGCTGGGTGCGATCGTGGTGTATTTGCTTGCTGGTGGCTGCTGGGGTTCTTCTGAGTACTGCTGAACGTACTTCTGCTCGGTGGGGATCGAGTTGGGCACAAAAGATACGTACTCGCTTCCTGAAATTCCATGTAAAGATTTTATGTTCAATCTAGTTGAGTCTCGTGAGAAATAGTCCAGGCGGATTACATTTTTCTTGGGCTCTAAAGGGGGATGACGGTAACAGATTATTGGAAGTTTTTCGGAATGATGTCAGATAGGCCTGGGTAACTCAGTGAATTTTTAGGAGTTGGCGCAGTGCTACCCAAATGGCTTGGTGCGCCAACCCAACGCACAAGCGCAGTAACTCAGTTCCGATGATGGGAAAATGTTGATGACTTTTTTCCCCTCTTTTTAGATTTATTTTAAGAGACATTTATTAATACTATTCTATTTCTGACAATAATGGGGTCTTTTCAGCCAAAAATTACAAAACTAAATTTGCTAGAAAATTCGCCTTATTCATCGGTTTGCAGGAAACTTTAGAAAACGTTTTTCAGCTTCGAATTTGGAACAAAAACCAAATAATTTTATTCAGTTTTTTACTGAAGGTTATAACGATTATCTTGAAAAATGATCAGAGAGCAAAAGTTTACAAAAAAATATTAAAAAAAATGCAAAAATCGCATTATTTTTTAGTTAAAATACTGACACTCTTATTGTTATAGTTTATTGAAACACTCGCCCCCTTAACCGCTAAAAACTTTTTGCAGCTTCGAATTATGAACAAAACCGTAATAATAAATTCTGGATCCTTTTCCAAAAATGTTTTCCCGAACTGAAAAAGCGAAAGTTTATAATCATTTATTTGGAAAAATAATGGAACTGGGGATTCTTCACTTTTACGTCAGTATTTCTAAACAACACTCTCTCTAAACAGAAAAATCGCGTTTTTCATTACGTTTTACTGTAAAATACTGCCAAACTGAATCCTTTATGCAAAAAATTAAGAGATCGATGGTACAAGCAAACTCGTCGACTTTCTTCGGACTCAGTTCTGTTGCTGGAAAAATACAGATGACTTTTTGTAGTTGTTTGAACAAAGTATTAAAACTTTCTTCGGGTCTCATAAAGCTTTAACACATGACTTATGACTCATTAACCAATATGTTAAAACTCGTTAACTCAGAGAGCGGCAACAACTCGACAGCGCAACTCAACACAGTGTTACCCAGGCCTAAGGCTAGACAATTGAAACACTTTGCGCGCGATTTCCGTTGTGGAACGTTGTTTAAATAATTAAAGTAAGTGCGAAAAACAGGTTTCAAAATCAGTTTTTTGAAGCTCTCTGGTCTGTAAAAAATGTTCTTGCAAGGTTCTAAATAAGATTTTTTGAGAACGTCAGAGGGACTTCTCTGAACGTCTCTTTTACTCGTCAAGATTATATTACAATGTACAATAAAGGAAAAGTTGATCGTTCAAAAATTGTGCTCAAAAAACGGCTTTTCGCACTTTCCTCGATTATTTAAACAATGTTCGACCGTCGGAAATGGCGCGCAAACTGCCATCCTTCTCAAAAACTTCCAATAATCTTACCTTCATCCATTTAGCGCCCGAAACAGGCCTTTTAAAGTATAACATTTCTGGTCTAAAACTGCTAATTATGGTTTGAGTTGGAGCATTACACAATGCAAAACCTACTCAAAAACTCTGGTTGTGTTGAACGTACGAAAATTAAAAACTCATGGAAGCTAAGCACCTTTGGGATCCACCACAGACTCAACTGCAGTACTAGGCGCTTGGTACTGTTGCACATAGTAGTACTGCGGCTGAACTATGCCCTGCTTCTGCTCAGGCTGGGACAGCCCATTGTCAGCTACGTACTGGACATTTTCGTACTGTTCATACTGCTGAGTTGGTTGCTGGTATTGTTGAGAAAGTTGCTGATACTCCTGGGACGGTTGCTGATACTGTTGCTGATACTGTTGCTGGTACTGTTGAGTGTCGGGCTGCACGTACGAGTACTCAAGCGCTTGCTGCTGCGATAGGTACTGTTGGGGCGCAGAGTACCCCTGCTGGTAGGTGAGGGTGGGCGGCGCCTGTTGGTAGTACTGCTGCTGATACTTGGGCAGTTTGGCCGCGGCCTTCTTCACCTGGTAGTTGGTTTGGGTGTACTGGAACTTGGGACGAGTGGCGGCGTAGGAGGAGGCCGTTCGGTGGGGAACAAACCCGAACTTTGATGGGGAGGCTACTGCACCATTGCCGCCCTAAGAATTACAGAAGAAAGTTGAGTTATTCTAGTTAGAAGAATTGAAGCAGTCAAGCAATCGAGCACCTTTGAAGGCGGGTTGTAGTTGGATATCTTATCGTTAGTGTTGTAATCGCGCTCAATGTCTTCCAGACTAGTTTGAGGGCCTCCATAGCTGCCTGCTTCCACAGCCACGGCCAGACATGCAAGCAATGTTAGGTAGTTCATCTGCAATAGAAAAATCTATCTGTGAGGGACTGTTTTTAACTTGAATTGATCCCAAGTGATATAATATACAATGGTTCCATTACAAAGGGCATGGTTGGTTTAGTACGAGGTGTTTCGCGTAAGTGGGAACTTTCCCTGGATGATTTGGGCGTGAAATGGGGAACAATGGTTAAAGCAAAAGGTGTTTATTATTGCTCAAACTTTCAATATCTGAAATTGAAATACAAAATTCACTATATAAATTTCATAAATTCAGTACGAAGAAAAAAATGGGAGCATTAATTTGTTTCTAATAATAGAAAATTAAGTTTCCAGTTCAAACTTTGAGCTGGTGGTGAAGTTTTCTGCTAAGAAAGGAAGAAACCGGGCTGAATTCGTGACGTTTTGCAAGAGCTACCACTACTAGGCTTGGGTAACACTGTGTTAAGTTGCGCTCACACACGCTTTAATAAAAGTAATTTATTAAAGCTTTACGAGACCCGAGACTAACATATGTATATACCCACCTTACAAAATGTAGCAACTTTTTTAAATTTTTAAATAAAATAAGTTATAATTTGAAAACGGTTGATTTCACAGCTTAAAGTGTAAATGTAAATTTGTAACTTTGTAAATTGTCTATCTAATGACGTATTAATATACAGGTACATTTGAAAACCAAAAGTTATGTTGCGTTGAAAAGTTTTAGATTGAAGTCCACATTGTTAACACCCTTTACAATGTATTGATATTTTGGTTCAATAGAAATCTTAACGGATCTGTGGTGATTGGAAAGACGTATATTTTGTATCTTGAACTGCTTTTTTTTGCTTCTACAACGAATTTTTAGATACTATGTTTTTAAGCAAAATTTTAATGAAATGGCGATAATCTGCCAACCTCGCAAGTAAGAAAAAAACATTTACGGCGCATATGCAGCGTTTCAAGCTGCATTCCATGAGCTAATGAAAAACGCGTAGTTCTATTTAAAAAAAATACACTCTGTATCATATAAGATATTTTTAATATGTGCGTCAACAACTTTTATATGAAACTATTTTTCGAAAGTTTAACACCATCGGAAATAATGGACTCTATCGCACTAAAAAGCACCCTGTATGTTTATCGGTTTCTCAGTTAGAAGCTTTTAAATGTTGAGGAACGTCCGTCTCTAGAAGTTGAAAACATCGGAAAAAGCTTGCGCCATCCTGAATATTACCACATTACTTTAAGTCGCCTCAGTTTCTCGTAAAGCGTACGCATTTTTTAAATAGAAGTTTGTATTCTGATGGTTACTTTTAGTACTAACTTCGACAAGTTACGCACGTAAATTCATGGATATTTTTATGCAAACTTCAATTTTTGTTAAACTCTTAACTCTCTCACAATTCTACTGCACTGCAGCAATCAAACTGAACTGCATTCCAGTCAAAATCCCTCATTTGCCCATTAGTTAAAGCTCAGACCAGGTCAATCTCCTGCTTGGAGACCACAAAAAACCCACAACAAATAAAAGCGTTTGCTTCCTACACCACGGGATTCTTTATTTAAATTTAGCCACTGTAACGAACTGCTTCCAACCATAACATGTATTCCAAGAGCATGAACCATAACTTTGCCGACTATCATTTCGATTCAATTGGAACCACTTTCTCAAATCAGTACCTGCGGGCCAAGCGACAATTCAATCGAGCAGCGATGGTGATAAATCAATGTAAATGTCGATTAGTTTATCTAAATCGAGTCCATTCATCATACGGGCGAAACCGGAAACGCAACTGGTCGGAAAAGTAACAGGCCGACATGGCGTTGCAGCCGAAGAAGAAACACGTTGCCCAACGAAAGTACAATTGAGGAATTGAAGCAGAACTTTGAAGAATGGAAGCGGTTGTTCGAGCGCGACTGGCGGTCTTCATTAGATTTTAGCGGAAAACCATCCGGGTTCTTGTTGCATGCTAATAGATGGGCATTGTCCTGCTGAAAAATGACGAAAAGTTTACTTGTTTGGCGGTTTTTCGTAATTTGGTGAAAGTTTAGTGTATTGATCTTAATTAGGGACTTGTCGAAATGTGCCTTGCAGTAATGGATTTCCTGACAAGTGAAGGAGAGGAAAAGTAGCCAAATTTTTCAATCAGTAGAGAAGGTCGTTGGTCCGAAGCGATTAACAAACTAATCGGATTATTTTTTGTAATTTTATCAATTCCACTTCCAATAGGCTTTTAATTTTGAGATGACGATGCGGGTAACGAATACATTTTCTGAAAGAGAATTGAAAGGGATGGACATTATTGCCACTCCTCTATTGGTAACCAAGATGTTGTTTTAGATGCTTCGAGAGTTTCGGTAGATGAGCTACATCATTCATTCCAATTTTAATTTCATTTATTCATTCATATTTTCAATACGGTTTTATTGGTTAAATCGCCTCAAATTTTGCGTCGTTTGATAAAGTTCTGTTTTTTCGAAAAACAAAGTTATTGAAGCAAATAACGCAACCAGAACGTTGGAAAATCAATTGTGTTAAATCGGCATCAATAGAGGCAATATTTTTGAAAACCCAAAAAATTCACTGTTCAACAGCGCCACTGTGAATTATTGAAAATTTTCGACAATTTTCTACAACTTTGGAGGCTCAGCTTGTTTGAAAAGTAGCTTTCTTTGATTACTCATTTTCTAACTGCGGAAAGTGATTAAGAGTCGTACTTTTTGCGATTCACAGTTGAAATAGGGTTTTAAAATCCTCAAAAATTGCTTTTCACTGTTAGTTAGAGAATTTTTCAAAAATGTTCGTCTTTATTAAATATACATTACAGATTCCTTTTGGCAATAAATTTTAAAGAACACTTCTTTACTAAGCTCAGAGTCAAAATATTGCTTTGTAGGACTAGGAAAGTCTCAGTTTTAAATCTTCATTAGCGATTTTTTATTTCCTGAACTGGGCGATTTTTCTTGGAGCAATTTGTGTGCCACTTGTCTTTTCCGAAAACATTGCTGACCACCGAAGAAGTGGGAAAATAGGGCGACTCTGCAATAGTCCGCAGAAATTTTAAGTTCTAAATCCTAAAATCGTCGTTTGTCAATAGCGAAGACTTTAAACTCTGAGCACTTTAACTTCTTGAAAAATGTGTACACATTTTCCGTTGACAAAGAAAATTAAAAAATGCTTGGGAAGCGAAGACTTAGATTGATAAGCGCTGAAAGTTGGGGATTTCAAATTTCATAAGGATTATGTCGAACCTTCTCGCAAGCAGGCCACCGCTTTTTGAAGGGTTTCGTGCGCGAGGTTTTTATGACAATTTATTTTCTGATCGAATTTTACTCAATCCTTAGATAAATAATGAAAATGTTGCATCAAACCTGAAAGTTTAATTCTTTACGGATAATTAGGAGTCTCTTGAGAATATTCGAAACATAAGCACATTTCCTCAGTAAACCATGTTGCGTGCTTAGCTTTGCAAATAGAACTTTGGAAACCTAAAGATATCGAGGGTGACGCAAATTTTCCAGTGTTTCCACTAAGATACGGTTTTCCAATATTGGAGAGTTTAAGATTTTTTAAATTTATTAATGTTTTTTCTAATTTTTTGGTATTCTCTATTTTGTATTTCTAATATTTTAATGTATAAAATTGTGCTATATCAAAATCGATAGCGATGATTTTTCAAAATAAAAGCTTTGCCTCAGATTTATTGATAAATTTCTAATCTTGAGAGGTTTTTGTTGATGAAAGCTGTGTACGGGCTTCTTTTCGGCATCACCTTTCCGACCCATGAAGAAGATAGGAAATCGTCCTCAGTCAGAATTGATACCTATGAATTTTCTAAATAAAGTTAGAAAATGTTCGTTCCTCTTATATCTCAATCGCAGATTTATTGCCGATTTTCTAAACTTAGCTGTTTTGTCTTGACGAATTTTTCCACATATCCCCTTTTTAATCATTACTATTTCGATGACTGAAGCCGATAAAACGTTCTGCTAGATTACTATCGAAAGCGATGATTCTTGGAAACTAAATCGGAAAGTTTTGCCGTTTAACCTTTACCGCACATTGAATAACAATTTTCAAAACTTGCATGGTTTTTCTTGATTAAATTTGTTTGTGTGAACCAGCTTCTTCTAGCCATCAAATTTTCTTAAATCGCAATCGATACCGATGATTTTGCCCAAAGAAATCGAAAAGTTTCGTTCTTGAAGCTCTGCCGCATATTTATTGATAACTTAAAAAAAGTGTTTCCTGTTAATAAAATTTCTGGGTTCGGTTGTTAAGCTCGATCAGGCATTTTTAACTCTTATTTTAAGTAAAAAGTTTTCTTTTGATGAGATGAATGTGCAAGCTTTCTCTTAAAAAATTGGTTTTCGCATTAAGATTCATATTTTCAAAACGTTTTTATTGGGTAAATCGCCTCAAATTTTACGTCGGTTGAAAACAGCGTTTTTGAACATTTCTGTTCTTCAAAGACAGAGGGGTTGAAGCGAATTACGCAAATAACAACGTTGGAAAATCACTTGTGCCAAATCGGAATCAATAGAGGCAATATTTTTGAAAACCCAAAAAATTCACTGTTCCATAGCCACTATGAATTGATTGACAATTTTCTGAACTTTGGCTTAATTTTTTTGGAAACTGACATCCTTTGATTATTTATTCTCTAACTGCGAAAAGCTATTAATAGTCGTACTCTTTAGGATTCACAGTACAAATAGTGTTTTAAAAAACATAAAAGTTTTTTCTTTTCACTGTTTGATTAAATATACATTACAGATTATTCATGGCAATTAATTTTCTGGCTACAGAAAGAAATGGCGGTACACTTCTTTACTAAACTCACAGTCAAAATATTGCTTTATAGGACTAGGAAAGTCTCAGTTTTAAATCTTCATTAGCGATTTTTTATTTCCTGAACTGGGCGATTTTTCTTGGAGCGATTTGTGTGCCACTTGTCTTTTCCGAAAACATTGCTGACCACCTAAGAAGTGGGAAAATAGGGCTACTCTGCAATAGTCCGCAGAAATGTTAAGTTCTAAATTCTAAAATCGTCGTTTGTCACTAGCGGGGACTTTATAATCTGGGCGCTTTAACTTATTGAAATCTCTGCACACCATTTCCGTTGACAAATAAATTCTTGATAGACATAATTAAATTAAAAATAGCTTGGGAGTGGAGACTTAAATTTATAAGGGTTGAAAGTTTGCGTTTTGAAATTTTATAAGGATTATGTTGAACATTCTCGCAACCGGACTGTCGCTTTTTGGGGAGATTTGTGCGCGAGGTTTCCTTTGGCAATTAATTGCCTGATAGGCGACGGAGATGGAAATTTACTCAATACTTAAATAAATAATGAAAATTTTGCATCTAACCTGAAAGTTTAATTTTTTACAGATAAATAGGGATTTCTTTAGAATATTCGAAACTTGAGCACATTTCCTCAGTAAACCATGTCACGCGCTTAGCTTTAGCAAATAAAACTTTGGAAACCTAAAAATACTGAGGGTGACGCCAAGTTTCCCAATGTTAAGGTTTTTCCAACTCAACTCAAAATCGATAACTATGACTTTACTAAATAAATTTGGAAATTTTCGTTCTTCAAATTTTACCGAAGACTTATTGATACATTTCTAAACTTGACGGTTCTCTGTTGATGAAAGTTGTGTACAGGCTGCTTTTGAAACCCCAAACCCTTTTGACCCATGAAAAAGATAGGGAATCGTCCTCAATCAGAATCGATATCTATGAATTTACTAAATAAAGTTAGAAAGTGTCCGTCCCTCTTCTGTCTTAATCGCAGATTTATTGACGATTTTCTAAACTTAGCTGCTTTTTCTTGACGAATTTTTCTGCATCTTTTTGATCATCACTATTTCGATGGCTGATGCCGATAGGATGTTGTAAGAGATATCGAAAGCGATAATTATTTTAAATTAAATCGTAAAGATTTGTATTAGATATTAGATTTACCGCACATTTAATAACAATTTTCTAAACTTGAGTGTTTTTGCTGATAAAATTTGTGAGGTTTGCTTTTGACCATCACTTTTCGACTTAGCCGAGACTCGAAGAAGATTGGAAATCGCCTTAAATCATCATCGATACCGTTAATTTTTCTACACAAACTCAAAAATGTTTGTTTCTCAATATCTGGCGCATATTTATTGTAAATTTTCTAAACTTGGGTGCTTTTTGATGTCCAAAATTACCATTACTTTTCCGAAATATAAAGAAGATAAGAAATAACCATAAACGACCATTGATATTAGATTTTTTAAAATTTTTCTTAATAAAATCGGAAAGTTTTGTTCTTTAAACTTTATCGCCGATTTGTTGGCAATGTCCTGAACTTGGGTGTTTTCTGTTGTTAAAATTTGCGAACCAACCTCGTTTTCACCATTACTTTTCCGACACCCAAAGAAGATAGGAAGACGACTTAAACCACCATTGATACCGTGGATTTTTCTAAATAAAATCGGAAAGTTTTGTTCTTCAAACTTTGCCGCAAATTTAGTGTCAATTCTTCAAACTTAAGTTTTTATTTAAGATTTTTTGTTTTTTTTTTGTTGATAAAAATTGTGAGCACGTTTTCTGTTGACGATCACTTTTTCGGCCCAAGAAGAAGATAGGAAATCGTCCAAACTACCATTGATCCTGCAGATTTGTCTAACTGCAATCGGAAAGTTTTGCTGTTTAAACTCTACCCCAGATTAAGTGACAATTTTCTAAATTTGAGTATTTTTTATCATACAATTTGTGATTAAGCTTCCTTTTCTTAAAATTTGTGATTAAGCTACACCTATCACTTTTCGGACACACGAAGAAGATAGGAAATTGTCTTAAATCACAATATATCGCGATCATTTTTGACGATATTTCAAAGTGGAATTATTTATGTTGATGCCATTTGTGAGGAAGCTTCTTTTGACTTCCCTCACCTCACTTTTCCGGCAATCCATAAATATAGAAAATTGCGCTATATTTCAATCGATACCGATGGTTATTTTAAATAAAATCCGATAGTTGCATTCTTCAAATTATATCCCAAATGTATGGACAATTTTTAAAACTTAGGGGTTTCTTCTTAATAAAATTAGATTGAATGACAATTTTCGTAACTGGGGTGTTTTCTGTTAATGAAATTTGAGAACACGATTATTTTGCCGTCAGTTTTGCGATCACCGGAGACGATAGAAAGTTGCGCTGTATCACAATTGATAGCGATGATTTTGCTTTTTTCGTTACGTACCTCTATTGCAGATTAATTGCCAATTTTAAAACTTGCGTGTTCTCTGTTGATGAGATTTGTGAACAAGCATCTTTACTATCACTTTTGTTGCACACACGAAGAACATAGGAAAATATCCTAAACCACAGTCGATACCGATGCTTTTTCTACATAAATTTAGAAAGTGTCGCTCTTCAAACTCATTCGCAGTTTCAGTGGCGATTTTCTAAAGTTAACTGGTTTTTCTTGATGATTTTTTTATGCATAGGTACTTTCTTTTGATCATTACTATTCCGATAACTGAAGAAGCTAAAAAGTATCCCATCGATAGTCATGCTGCTTGTAAACAAATCAGGAACACTTCGTTTTTTTCAACTATATTACAAATTTATGAACATTTTTCCAAACTCGAATGTTTCCTGTCGCGTGTCTCTAACGATCACTTGTCCAACACCTGAAGAAAACTGTATCGAGTAAAATTAAACAGGTTTATTCATCAAAGTCCGCTGATTTGCCAACAGTTTTTGAACTTGATGGTTTCCTGTTGATTATATTTGTGTATAACCGATCTTTTGACCACCGCTTTTCCGACAACCAAAGAAAACTGTCACATCGTGCGAAATCACAGTCAATAGTGATTGGTGTGCTAAATAAAATTTGAGACTTTGGCTATTCAAACACCATTGCAGATAAATTGACTGTTTTCTAAACTGAGATCAAGACCTTTCCTTCGTTCCAAAATCACAATCAGTAGCGGGGATTTTTCTAAATATAATTGGAAAGTTTTGTGCTTCAAAGTCTATTGCAGATTTGTTTATAATTTCCTCAACTGGAGTTGAGGAAGACGATTCAGAGTCGCAGATTTATGTTGACAATCTGTTGATGAAATGTATATACAGCTTGCTTATCGCTATCACTTTTACAACAGCTAAAGAAATCCATCAAAACCTGTTTGTTTTAGCTCACAGTAAAAAGACTATAACGGCACAAGTTTTATCAAGTATTTTTTCAAAACACAATACCTCTTCATTGACAATTAATTTCCTGTCGAAGTATTTTGAGAAGCGCATCAAATAAACAACACAAGCAAGTAAATAAAACAGTAAAAAAAACAAAAAAAAAAACAACATGTATGTTAACTCCCGAGTGATGGTCCACTTGCATCAAAACTCTCTTTTCACCCTCTTGAAGCGCATCGAGCGATTATTGAACGAAATAAACCGACGCAATTAATCTGCCCACATGGAAGCCAAACCATAAATCACCACTATTAAACGAAAATTTACCACTTACCATCAGCACCATCACTAGAAACAACAAGAACGCGTGCTAGTATCGAATTGGTGAGCTATGTGAGTCCGGTGCCCAATTTAAAAGCTTTCGCAAGGTGAAGGTGTAAACGAGCGCGGTACCATCAGTTGCCCTACCAGAGGTGTTACCTGGTCGGTATGAAGTCATGGTGCGATTTGCCCATCTTCTCCACTAGGAAGAACCGTGGAAAATGCGCGCTTTTCATCGTTATGGTCGGTTGCCGTTCCACATAACAACTCCGTTAATTTGCACCATCAATGCGGTATAGAGGAAGTCAATTGGATTCGCCAGATTGATTAATCGATTAACGATAGCGGGGTTTTTGAAGGCAACATTTTCACTTGCATGGTGTTGAGTTTGAGCTCTGAAATAGCCAGCTTTTGGGAGATTTCCTTTGGATCAAACAGCGAATTAAGTGATTTGATGAGTACCTCATTTTGCTATGAACATTCTATTCATTACTGTGTCGAACATTCTCCTAAGCGCCAAGGACGTGAAGATCAATAATCTCATGTCTAGAGAAAGTAATTTTGGATTTACTTGCATGCATTAATAGCCAGCCCTACAGTGGCCTTTTTCAACAGGTTTTTCTTTATACTTTCCCCAGCTACATTTATTTACAGGTTTCGGTGTGCGCTTCTATTTCTTGACTGATTTTAAACCGTTCATTCCAAATTCAGTTTTCGACCAGCAGATTTGTCAGTGTTTCATCGGAAAACAATTGGACATGTTTGTTCAGGCGAGAAAAATTTCACATTGCCAGTTGGTTTAGTTTGCAAATGCGATTTTTTATGAAAAAGCCCCCTTAGCTAAGCATTGATTTTGAAGCGAATATCCACTAAGTTGACAAACACTATTGTCGCAACTTTTTGTAAAAATGTTTCAAGATTTGTGATCCTACTACTGTCTTCTAAAAATACTGAAAATTTCAAGTTGCCACTGATTTTATTTTCGAAGATGTGAATTTTTTAAAAAGAGAGCGCAGTTGAGTAGAAATATTCATTTTGAGACTGATATTGACTGAGCGGGCAAAACTGGTCTCTGGCCCTTCTTGATAAAACTTCCAGTTTCTTTCGAGTTGAGTTTCTTCTAAAAACACAATTTTTGCAACTATTTGTAAAAACGTTTTAATATTTGTCAGCCTACTACTTATTGTCTTCTAAAAATGGAGAACATTTCAAGCTGCTACTGATTTTACTTTCGAAGAGGCAAATTTTGAAAGAAGAGGGTGCAGTTGAGGAGAAACATTCATTTTGAGATCGATATTGATTAAAGGGGTAAAACTGGATTCTGGTCTTTTTGATGAAACTTTCAGTGCCTTTCGGGCTTAGTTTCCTCTAAAGGTTTGAGTGGTTAATTGCTTTAATCTGAGCGATGCGGTTTTTAAACAAAAACCCGTAGTTACCAAAACAATAATTTTGAGGCGAAAATCCACTAAGCTGGGAAGCACAATTTTTGCAACTATTTGTAAAAACGTTTTAATATTTGTCAGCGTACTACTACTGTCTTCTAAAAATGGAGAAAGTTTCAAGCTGCTACTGATTGTACTTTCGAAGAGGCGAATTTTTAAAGATGAGAGCTCAGTTAAGAAGAAACATTCCTTTTGGGACTGATTTTGACTAGGCTGCCAAAACTCTATTTTCGCTGATTTTTTAAACTTTCAATCTTGTTAGGGTAGAATTTATTCTAAAGGTGCTGAAAAGTTTGAGTTTCTACTTACCTTAATCTGGAAGACGCGAACTTTTAAATAAGGGAGCGCAGTGTAATAAAAGCATTCATTCTGAGCCTGATGTTGACTAAGCTGAAAAAACTAAGGATTTTGACTATGGTGGCAAAACTCGATTTTGAGTCATTTTTAAAACTTTCAATCTTGTTAGAGTATAATTTATTCTAAAAGTGCTGAAA